TATATATATATATATATATATATATATATATATATATATAGATAGATAGATAGATAGATAGATAGATAGATAGATAGATAGATAGATAGATAGATAGATAGATAGATAGAATTTTTTATTTGGAACGTACCAATGAAATCTTGAGTAAAGTCCAAAAATAACAATAACAAAACCAAACATTCAGAACAACAAAAACTTACAGTACTAAAACATATCAAGAATATAGAAAATAAAAATTTTGCAAAAATGCTAAGAATGAAAAAATCATTACTTGAAACAATAATAGGAAATAATTCATCCATGCTAAAATCTTCCAGCTTTGGGGCATAGATGTATAAAGCTGTAAGGAATCTAGATCTTTGTTACAATATAAAATGTAATGTTTCTCATCCCCTACTTCATTGCATTCATGGAGTTTACATAGCCTGTTTTCCTTCAAAATGCCTTTATGTCTACCGGATTCAATGGGAAGAAAATGTGCAGAAGTTATAAATTTAGTACAAGCTATTCTATGATTTTTATTTTTTCCAAATAATGTTCAAATTCAAAATTTTCTTTAGCACACCTGTAAAAGTCAAGCTTACAATTGTTCAACAAATTGTTTTTCCACTTCATACGGTACAAACATTTGAGCTTCTCTTTAAAAATATCACAAAAATTATTCTGATGTGGGTCTGAATTAGATCTGTTATGACTAGTAATTTTTGTATAAAGTTAAGCCATGGGTCATGCACAAGAGTTTTGGATTCTTCATAGGCTGCATCAATGATAGAATTGTTTGTTTTTTACATACTAGTCTTTGATAATATTTCATAACTGAAATACAAATATCCAATATAAGTGGATATTGACCTATATATATATATATATATCAATAATTCACATGGATGAATAAAAAACTAGTGAAATTTGGTACAAGCAGTGCATACTCATAACACTTTGTCATGTTTAATTCTTTACTGGTACAGGAATAAAATCTATTACATAATATTCAATATTTGGCATCCTTATCACAATTCATGTTCATGTCGCTAAACCATTGCTAAAGCAATTAAACACTCCAACTGAAAATGCCCGTTCAATTAAAGATGGTTCACACAGTAGCACACACATACGCAAATGTAGGTCCTTTGTGATTATAAGACTGTTCTAACTGAATTTGAAAAAACAATATTGAGGGAGAAAGTCATTTATTATACAAGTCCACAGTACATGTTTATTCTTCATTAGGTGAGGGGTATAAGCAAGTATTCCCTTTTTGTATGTGTATGTGGGGTGGGGGTTGGGGGGGGGCAGCAACTCACTGATGAAAAAAATAAGTTACACATTTGGCAGAAAAATAAAACAAGCAGCCTGTCGGCTGAGATAGCTCCGCTGTTAGCAATGCACATGGCAATTAAAGAACAGAAGATATCATTACAAAATGAACAAATCTGAGAGAGGTCCACATGTAGTACCTATATATGTAATATCAAAGCAATTGGACTTGCGGTTTTCAACAAGAAGTCGAAAATATCACTTTTTACCAAAAATGACAAAAATATTCACCAAAATTAGAGAATTAAAGATATCATTACAAAATGAACAAATCTGAGAGAGGTCCACATGTAGTACCTATATATGTAATATCAAAGCAATTGCATTTGCGGTTTTCAACAAGAAGTCGAAAATATCACTTTTTACTAAAAATGACAAAAATATTCACCAAAATTAGAGAATTGAAGATATCATCATGAAATGAACAAATCTGAGAGAGGTCTACCCAAGGTACATATACACCAAGTATCAAAGCATTCAGGCTTGTAGTTTTCAAGAAGAAGTCGAAAAAGTAAAACATTGACACGGACGACGGACGACGACGACGACGGACAATCACTCATATGATAAGCTCCGCTCGACAAAGTCGACAGCGGAGCTAAAAAAATTACAGAACACTTTATATTTAACGCCAAGGAGTTATAGAATTTTGTTTCCTTTAAAAAAAAATACATATATTTTCATGTACACCTGATCAGATTATTATATGGAGATGCAGTTGTTATATTGTTACTGTTTGGAGAGGGGGCTCTTATGAATATCTGCTGCCAATATGTTCTTTGTTTCCAGTTTAGTTACACATTTTGAAAAGTCTGTTGCAACCAATGTTTAGGAATTGAGAGTTATTCTCCCACAACAGCACAAATACATGAAAGTGTAAACTACCACACATTTGGTCTGTGAATTGTTTTCATTCTACACTGTATTTCCTGGACATCCTAAAATTATTTCTACTGGAGATTGCTGGAGTTGTGATGTACAATCTAAAATCTGGTAAAGTACAATGCTATACACATTTCAAAACTTTGTACACTAATGTTTGATATAGTTAGTTCATTTTTTTTTTCTGTAACTGCACATCTGTAGTTTTAGTTCGGCAAAGCTTTATACAATCAAATTGCAATAAGAGTTGTGTTTAGGTGTCTTTTTTAAATTTAATTTCATAATATTCATATAGTCATTTTGTGACAGATTATTTTTGTCTGGTCACTAAATGTTGTACAATTATCTAATTACCTCTTGGAAATGTGTGTTCTATATCTCGCAAACCAAGTGTCCAATCAAAATGCTTGTATCATCTGCATGAGCACAATGTGTCATAACTTCATTTTTAAATTTTTGTAATGGGTGTCATAAGTATTATCGTGGCTGAACATTTAAATAAAAACTGACATTCTGTGTGGTACTTAAACTTTAATTCCTTGTGAAATACATTTATAAATATTTTAATAAAAGTTATTTGGATTTGCTCTTCTTTTTTATTTGCTTCTTATCTTTGTCTTTACTGATATCTTCGCTATTTTCTTCTGGTCGTGGTTTCAACCACTCTATAGGAGATCTTCTGTACATCGGCCATGGTGGTAATGTTAACTGTAAAGAAGAGGAAAGTGAAGAATTGATTTAATGGTAATCAGCGAAGAGTTGTGGTTGTCACAGTGCACATATTTGATACATATGTAATGTTACATATATAGATATGAGTACCACTCCCCTCCCCTTGTGCTTTTTAAATCTCAGTTACATAAAAAAAAGTGCCACAGAATTCATTTGAATTTGTTCCTATCAGTGGGTGGCTGTTGCCGAGTTTTTGCATTTCTGAAACTGAGGCTTGGAATGCAGATTAGTCAGGTGACTGTTTTCAATATGTGCTGTGTATATTTCAGGTCATAGTGTAACAACACTTTTAGACAAAAATCTGTGAGGTTTCACTTGCTATACATCACTCTAATGATGCCTAGTACATTCCTAGTTATTACCAGACACCACCATTTAATTTGTTTTTTTTTAAATGGTGAACAGAAATTTGCAATCCACAATGAGGTCAAGACAGCCTCAGTGAGTGATGTACCAGGTAATAGTAATGTTTGTTTAATTTTTTTTATTTGCTGAATTGAAAGTGAATGCACTTTATACGCAATACTAAGTAAACTTGTCAGATGTTTACAAATGTCAATCTACAGTGAGTTTAGTGTATTTAAAATCCCACCAACACTCATCACCAGCCAAGGTCCACTTGGCCATCATCCTGTTCAGTAATAGTGTATAAGTAAAGTGCGCCCTCTCTGGCAATTCAACATGCCACCATTTGGTTTTATGTTCATTGCCGTAAAACTTAATTCTTTCATTTTGGGCAGAGAGGGTACAAAATGATATTAATTACTGTGCACAAAAATCACACTGTTGTTAACATTTTTGTTATATTAATTTCGCACTTAGAGGATGAGAGAGATGGGAGATTACATTAGCTGTGTGCATGTTTTATTTATCCACTAACTCTAAAAAGTGTACCAAATTTGATTCATGATTTACAGATGCGTCCAATCGAATATTTCCATTTTATCAGGTAGAACAAGTGACCCCTTGATACAACTACACATAGAGTAGTATGTTTACATTCAATTTGCAATTTGAATAAAGACAAAAATTGAACTTTTATGCACTTTATTGGACGCGCTTCTAATACATATACACCAAATACAGTATTTTTGCTTACTACAATCTCTATAAACATTATATAAATTGCAAATTACAAGAACAGAATGAACAAAATGTCAGGATCAATGTTTCATTATTCATGAAAATCTGACACTTATAAAATTAATGTAGTTTATACAGGTTTTTTTCTAGAAAAATGAACAAGAGGGAGCACACATAGGCGAGAGTAGCTAGCACAGAAACAAGATGGCGGATCGAACTGGAAAGGTTTCTGTGCCGTTTTAACGGTGTATCTATCGCCATTGAAATATTTGTGGAGTGATTTTAGTGTATTTGTTGCCCAGACACATTGTCAGCTGGTGTTGCTGGGAAGTTGTCATGGAGAAAAATATATTTGAGAAAGATTTCATGTTTTACAACAGCATCAAAGTGGGCGGCTCAAGAAATATATTTATGACTTGAAAGTTCAATTGGCAATTCGGTAAGAGAGCACCAGCTGAGAGTATCCCCGATTTAGATAAAAAAACGGTTTATAGGCCTCTATACTTACTATGCAAGAGAGAACAAAGCCAGCTCCTAAAACATACATGGTTTGTACAAACTGCTCACACATGTAGCCCCATATAAATCCAACCACCTACAATAAAAACGAAATGGACATGATGAGTGAGTAAAAAATATACATTTTTTTGGATATTTTGCTGAGTGGAACCAAAGACACTAGAAAGACACTAGCGTCTTTGGTGGAACTTCTATCAAATATTAAAAAGACAAAGTGCATAGGTACCCAAACTTATTTCCATAGCAGATATACCATACATGTTCATTTTGAAATTGAAAATTTGGCAAAATACATGCAATGGAGTTTCAATGGATGGATATTGGAGGCACATGAAGTAGAAATATGGAATGTTTAAAATTAATTACCAAGTTAAGATTATACTTTGAAACAACGATCCTGGTGATTAATATAGATTTGAACTTTGAGATAGACAATTTTATGTAAAAGCAATCTGGTTCACAGTATTGAAGTTTATAATACTAATAGAAAACTCTTGAAAGCAAGAGAAATAAATTTGACTGTACATCGTTACATGCACCGAGTTTACCCCTTGAGCACCAAAATTAACTTTTGTCACTATCATAAATTAAAACTATTATGAATTTTTTTATATTTTTTTCAAAATATGATTAAAATCTGTAGCCACTAGGAAATGATGTTCATTTGGTGCAAAATTATCAAAAAAAAAAAAATACCTAAAAATAAGAAAAATGTTTCACCAAAAGTTTGGTGGAAAAAATTATGGCCTTCAAAGGGTTAATTTAAATCTAATTATTGAAAAATAACGATATATCAGAAACAACCTAGTTTATGTAAATTTTAACTCTAAACTAATGTACATATATCTTAATTAGCACATTTATGTGCAAAGTTTCATTGAAATATAGATACTTGAAATAAAAACAATGTGTACCCCAACTTGTAGTTTTGTACTATGAACCTCAATATTTTATTAAAATGGCCACCACAGTGAGGCTCAAAGGGTGGTAGTCATCCTGCCTTGCATGTGTGAGATGTTCGTTCCATGTTAACAAAAGATGGCGACTTGTGATTTTGTGCAGATGAACATGTACAAAATTAGACACTACCAAGGTTTCACTAGGTAATTCTTGTGATGATTGGAATGCATGGAATATTAAGTTGTTATGCTATACCACAAAACCACACCAAAACATGCATTCATACTTGAACTGGGAGAGCTCACTGGGTTGTGAGAAAATCATTGTTTACCAACTCAAATCTCGCACAATCGTGACATGACGGCCACCTCCCTTAACTTGCTTCACCTCACAGAAAACATTTACTCTGAGTGGGATATTTGAATGCATGAATTGGACAACACAAAATGTTTACATGCTTGAAATTTTTAGATTTTTGCTTGTTCATAAAAACATTAAAAATCAATATGATCATCTAATGGTTTGCTATTTGATATTATACATACATATAATAAAATCAGGTCATGATACTTACAGCAAATAGAATTATAATAGCTTGAAATAACTGTTCAGCCAGCTTCTGACCTTTGTAGTCCTGTAGACAAACATAATCAAGGACTTACATTTGTGACTAATATCGATCATAGCAAGCGCAGCTTGTGTGGCCACGAGTCTCTCAGGAAGCAAGCTCTTTAGATAACACATGTATATATATATATATATATATATATATATATAGCATATACTAGTAGAAGAAATCAAATGTACAAATCTATGTACAATAAGAACTAAAAAATAATGCACTTCAAGATTTGGATGACACCATTTTGTTTGTTGTTTGTTTAAAGTGAGTTATCTAGATCATTCATGCATCTTTAGAAATGTTCTTCAATGATAAGGTAATTGTATGCTGACAACATACTCAATAGTTTAATTCTTAATGTTTTTTCAAGTAATTTTGAGCAGTGATGGCAAACAAATCATACGCGGCACAATCTTGAATCACGCTCATATACATGTATGAACTAATAACTTTTGACTTCCGAAGTTCACATGCTTTGACCTTATATGGTTACCTATATGTCATTTCTATTTTAAGTACTCTATTTTCACTTGGAATAAATTTTCGCTATTTTCGCTGAAGGAATGATTCAATGAAAATAAAATCCAGTGAATAAAACTTTTTTCCTATATTTTACATTTAACTTTTCAAAGATCAGTGAAATTAAATTCCATACAAAACACCCAAAAAGTCCTTTCAGCGAAAATTAATTCAAGCTAAAATAAAGTATTTTACAGTAAATCAATAAACTCCATAGCTGTATTTGCTCACAATGCATTGCCTGCTACATATTAGACACTTTAAGCTCAAAAGTACAAGTGGTGGCTATCTCACTAAATGCATTCACGACCCTGTGTGTATACTGATTTTGTAAACAGTATATATATTAGTTTACAATATATAATCTATATGTCTGCAAGATCTTTCCATCAACACCTAGTCATGATAGCCAGTGAACGCAATCATACATTGTAATCAGCTGTACATTTGACTGGGTAAGGCCTGTGAAAACAAGGCTACCGTAATGTGAGCAGTGTTTATCATTTGGAGGCCATGGATATTCGGGGAATTCCCCTCGTACGCAATTAAAGTGGCACTGGGTTCTCGTCAGTTGAACTGTTGAAACCATTGACTAAAATAGGACGGCTGGTAAGATGACCACCGTGCCTTTGTTGGAGAGGTTTATTCATCAATCTTAACAAACACATGCAGCATATTACGGTATAAAGCCAGAATATGGTAGCATAAATATGAAGACCCATTAAAATGAACGGCCACTGACATCCATGGATTATGCACACCAGATCATTTTTTAGCAGTAAAAGGTTCAGTATTAACTGACGGGCAATATTTTGAACATATTTAGTTACAAATGAAATGAACGATGTAAGGACACGTCTGAAAATAACATACAATGTACACCAAAAATAAAATCTTCGAATCTTTGATCAATTGGATATTGCAGACAATGTGAAACTCAATAAAATATCTTCTTACCATGTGCGTTGTCCATGATTTAAATAATTTTAACATGCTGAAACACTGGCAAATAGACCGAAACTGGCAGAAATATACAATATGTTACCGATATTCAGGAAGTGTGCATCTACAATAACCCGGAAGTAATCGCGGGAAAAAACCCAGACTACCTAACTAGGTGATATTACGGTACTGGAATCAGTCCTCATTAAAACGCAATGGATATTGATTTTACGATGTTTATATAACTTTAAGGTCATAGTTTTTTAAAACAAAATTGTCAATTTCAACAGAAAATGAGTTGAAAAGAAATTTTTCAAAAACAGTTTCATAGTTAATTTTTTAGCGACCTAGGTGGCTTCACAACAAGGTCAGAAGCCCATTCTTGGTTGTGGTCGGAATCTCGAAGACGACGCGGACGGCATTTGTATGAAGTGGGTGGTAGAAAGTTGACATGCAGAATCAAATATGGTCAGAGTATACCCAACAACAGGTAAATACAACAGAATTTTGACTTTGATCTACATTTAAAATCACGATGATGATCGTAAAAAATAAATTAATCAACATGATCTTTCAGTAATGATAGTATTGATTGCTGTCTGAGAGAATCCCCCTAATCGTAGGAAATTCTTGGAACCACTTTCCAATGTACCCCACCTCTAATCCTAACTTTAACCAGAACCCTTCCCTCTATTGATCCTCAAATTAACAGTATATGCCCCTCTTGAGAACACCTATTGTTATACAGAGGGAGAAATACAACTGAATTGATAACTGAAGTACTAAGGTTTGGAGTTAAGGTGAGGAGTTTTCTTAAAAACTGTATTGGGGGGACAGATAAAATTAGTGACAGTTCGTTGTGGTTATATTACAGTCCCTCGGCTATAAACATCAGAAATTAGCACTTACCTGGGCAATGTAGAAGTTAAGACGCTGGTGTATACATGTCTTCTATTAAAGCAGATTACTTATATTTGAGTCTGCTATACAATAAAATGAGATGTATACCAGACTGTATATTGGAAACTTTGAGGGAAAATCATTGGCACTCCTCAATGCACTTTAATATTCTGTATAGACCCGGATATATGAAATTTTCTGTTACTATTGATTGTGCTTTATGGGAGAAAGAGATAGGAAGATTACTCCGCTCAATTTAGATATGTATCAGTTTTGAAAGCAAGCTAAGCTAGCAATTAAACTTGTTTTTTTGACTCCTGTGTGCGAAGCACAAAAGGGAGTCTTTGCAGTTACCCTGTCTGTATGTCTGTATGTCTGTATGTATGTCTGTATGTCTGTATGTATGTATGTATGTATGTATGTATGTATGTATGTATGTATGTATGTATGTATGTATGTATGTATGTATGTCACTTTTTTTGTTCCACCGTTATCTCAAGAACCACTAATCAAATTTTGATGAAACTTTGTACATAGATGCTCTGGGATAATGCGCAGAGTTGATTAGGTTTTGGTAAAAATCTATGAATATTAATTACCTAATTTCCATGATAATTAGCTGATTTTTAGCTGTTTCAAGACTGTTCCACTGATATCTGAAGAACCACTCATTGGATTTTGATGAAATTTGGCACATGGATGCTCTGAACTAGTGCGCAGATTTGATTAGTTTTGGGTAAAAATCTATGAATATTAATTACCTAATTTGCATGATAATTAACTGAATTTAAGCTGTTCTATGACTTTTCCACTGATTTTTGAAGAACCACTCATT